TACAAATGCTTCAAGAGAAACTTGCAGCGTCCTGTTCACCTTTCTGAAGTGAAGCCAAATGACTGAAGCATAGAAAGCGGGGTCCTGCTCACATGCCATTAGCTGCAGTGGGGTTCCTGGACAAAGTTACTGGAAACTCGAACCCCCTTTTTAAATCTCAACTCATGTGTGTCTTGTTCCTTCCCCACAGGTGGGCATGCATTTCTAAGTATACGCTTGCATTCATCAGTGTAAAACAGTACTAGAAAGATGTAAAAGGTCATAATAATAATATAAGGAATTCAATGGAGAGAAATGACTACTGGGAAATTCTAAAGAAAACAGGATGCTATTTGAAAGCTTCAATTTCCAATAATTCTCACCCAACCAGTCAAAGTCTATTGCCTTTTAACCTGATTTTTGGAGAAAGATAACTTAGTTTAATGCATCCCCAAAAGCTGAAGCTTGCTTTGATTAGGATTTAAAAGAAAGTTCTGTTTTTGTTTTCTTTTTTTGTAGCACAACATATTTTCACTGCTTACTCCTGGCAACAGTGAATTGGATTCTCACTGTAAAAATCTGGGTTTTACATATTAATTGGAAGTCTTCAGGTTAGTAAGGCTACTATATCACTAGAATTTGCATGCTTAGGTATGTCCCCACTTTTACATAATCTAAGATGCATAAATTAGAGCACATGGAAAAGTGAGAAACTTGGAATCATCCCTAGTGCACTGCTCGCCTGCTTGGTTCCCTCCATCCTCTGTTCCCTCCATCCCCTGTTCCCTCCATCCCCTGTTCCCCCCATCCCCTGTTCCCTCCATTCTCTGTTCCCTCCATTCTCTGTTCCCCCCACCCCCTGTTCCCTCCATCCCCTGTTCCCTCCATTCTCTGTTCCCTCCATCCCCTGTTCCCTCCATCCTTCATTTCCTCCAGTCAGCAGGGAATCAAAGAAAGCACTAGGCTTGAGTTGATAGGACACTCACTGTGAATTCTTTTGGGGAAAAAAATTAATGATCCCTACTTTTTTTCAATTAAACTATTTCAAAGTAATGCAATTGGTACATCGCCTATCTCTACTACCACCCTCTGCCCAGGCACTTTCTCTCTTAGCACCTTTTCCAGAGCCTGAAAGTCCTGGTCAGGTGCCAGCCTCTGTCTTCTCCCCACCTTTGCAACGATCACACTATATTGTAGCGATTGCTTCTCTCACTTGTCTTCTTCTACTAGAAATCGAACACCTTGGAGGATCATGTTGTATGCACTTAGAAAAGACTCTGAACTCAACAAAAGCTGGGTGAATGAATGAACAGCATGACATCACAAAAGTTATCAAAAGTATTCTAAGCATAACTCTGTTAAGTGATCATGGACTCTCCCCCATGGTAACATGTTTAGGCAGAACTGATACTGCAGGCTTTCTGGGACGGGCAGCAGTTTCTCTGATGGGTTCGATAGATAAAAACTCACTTTATCTGATGGGATCACAACTGCAGCACAGGCTTCCTGGTTCCCAGTCTCAGGCTCCTCAGGCTCTTACTATTCCATGACCCTATTGTCCTTACCCATGTGTGAAGTGAATGTCTGTATAATGTTGCTCAAATTACACATTTCTTTCCTTGAATGTTTGACATGGTTGAAAGAGATTAAAAAAAAAGTCAGTATATAAGGTATTTAAAAACCAAAACATTTATGTTCTTGTTTTTGGAATTAGTTATGCTTAGCATTTATTTGACTTTGGAATAGAATGGTGCTTATAGAAAATTCTGGGTAAGAGAACTTAATTGTCTCAGTAATAAAAGATAAGAGCTTCAGGATCACTTTGTATATTTATGTTATTTTCATAGAAAGTGAAAAATAGAGGTACTGGGAAAAACTTTTGCTACCCTATTCCTATTCATACATGGAGCTTTCTTAAAAGAAACACTATTTCATGGTTATAATTGTGAACATTTACACAACTATCTCTGTGCTGTGTGGTGTATGACTATACAGACCTGCCTATATATTACCAAGTCCTGGGATTCTGAATATAAACTGTCTTTCTCAGCCTCTTCCTTCTTTACATTTCCCATTTCCACTGCTTCTGCCCTAGTTCTGATTTATACAACCTTTTAAAATATAGATGTTGGGATTTTCAAAAATGCTCACACATTGTTAAAAATTAAAAAAAAAATTACAGATAGCACGTGACCTGGGCAGTTGCATGGGTCCTGTGCTTAGTTTATTGTGCTGCTGTCGACTTCTTAAAATTCATAATCATTGTTGAATACAGGGTCCTCTGTTTTCATTTTGCACTGTGCCTCAAAAAATGTGTAGCCGGTGGCCCTGTCACCACCCCACCCCTCTTCCACTCCTTTCCACTTATGTAATCACTCTTAACCGTTTGTTACTTCCAGAAATTTTCTGTGTATGTAAGCATGCTTGCATTAGTTTTTCCATCGGTGGGGTTATTCTATACATATTCTATACTTTTTGCCTCCTCAATGTTGCATGACCGAATTTTTCCATTCAACAGCCTCCACCTACCGAGCACTCATTTCCCTCTTCCCCTCGGCAGTCTCCCTACTGCTGCGGGGTGCGTTTTCTAATTCTGGTTGTGCCTCTTCTCTGCTAAAAATGCACAATGCTTCCCTGTTGTGTATAGAATAAATCAGCACCCTGGTAAACAGAGCAGCTGTAGGACTATTGCTAGCGTTCTGGCAAGTTTGAGTTTCTGAGCACGCAGCCCCGAAAGACGCCTCTGGACAGAGCATCACTAAGAGGAGTCCTTTCTGCTAAGCAGTCAGCTAGCTGGTCTCTCCTGGGATAACCTCATCTGAACATAGGCCTTTCTTTTCAGACTTTGCAACATCCTATCTCTCTAACAGTTAGGGAAAAGTGACCGTCCCTTCTTGCCATTACTGGGTAGGGTTGCTAATAATAAGCCTTGAAATTAGCAAAGACCGTATTAGGGACTTCATGTGTGTGTGCTCCCCAAATTCTTAGGTTGAAACTCTAACCCGCATGTGATGGTATTAGGAGGTGGAGCCTTTGGGAGGTGAGTAGGTTTAGATGAAGTCACAAGGATGGAGGTTAATTCTTATTGGAAGAGGAAGAGACTACAGTGCTTTCTCTCCCCATCACCCCCGAACCCCCCACCCCGCCTTGTGAGGACACAGCAAAAAGGCAGCCAACAGAAGCCAGGAAGAGGGCTCTTACCAGAACCCAACCATGCTGGCACCGAGGCCTTGGACTTCTCAGCCTCCAAAACTGTGAGAAGTAAATATCTCTTTAAACCACTCAGTCTATGGTATTTTCAGACAGACAGGGAAGAAGGCTTTTAGCTTTCTAAAAAATTGATTAATCTACAGCATAAGATTAGGTCATATAAATTCCTTATTATTTCACAGATAAAGAAAATGAGTCGGAAAAAAACCTATGTCATGTCCAAAGCCATGGAATTTAGTGATGAATTTAAGTTAATATCTACTGCCCTTCAGGTTAATAGATTGTGACATCTTGGAATTTTCCTGAACCCTCTAAATTCTGAGGTCGGAATGGTATTCTGAAAGAGCTTAGAGAAGTCTGACTGTTATGGCAACAACTGCTTTCATTGCTTCCAGCCCTGCATTTCTAAGATATAAAGGTTGGATTGTCCAAGTCAGTGGTTAAATGCCTGAGTAGTAGCCACTCACACACATGTGTGATCACGGATGAATTACTCAAGGTCTCTGTGAGCTTGAGTTTTCTTACATGGAAAACAGATATAATATCTACCTCATAGAACTCTGATTAGGAAAAAAAACACTATTTAAACTTATCTGTTTACTCAGCAGGTATTTATTAAGTGATTTATGTATTAAAAACAGTGCTAACAGTGAGATTATGGCAGTGATTTAAACACATCCCCGGCCCTCATGAAGCTAACAGTCTGGTCAGACGGAAGGTGTAAGAAAGTTAGCAGCACACATCCCTGCCCAGAATCAATGCTCAGTTAATATTAACTGACAAACATTTTTAAATGTTTGGTTTTTTACCCTTCCCTTTGAAAAAGGAACTAATACTGCTGCTTTATCTGTAGAGACAGCTTCAGTCATGAAAATTGGGGCATTTTTGTTGGAATCGCCAGGAAGAAGACATCGATCCTCTGCCCTGCCCCTAACCCTGTCATTTTCCCAAAATTATTTGCTAGCAGAAAATCTGAAAATCAGCTTAATCTGAAAAACTGGCATACATTCAGTCCAGTGCCCTTTTCTTTGTGTATGACTAGAGCTTTTTTTTTTTTTAATCAGTGTTTGCACTTAGTCTTGCCGATGTGCCAAGTTTACAGTTTGTAAGGAAAGGCCCCTCTAATAAAAAGTGCTTTGAACATCTGGATGAGGCTTACTTACTTCGTGGTCACAAGCATCTCAGTTCACACGTCCGAGAGCTCTGTCGGAATCTACCTAGTTAGTCAGAGGGTGTCTAGCAAGGAGACACTGCATGTCCAAGAAATCAGCTTAGAAGCCACACGAAAGGATAAGCAGCCTAGGGAGGTCCATGCGAGACCTGCTCAGGAACGTGAAAGAGATCAGGGAGGTTAGTGTGAAAGACAATGCCATGCACCCAAGTCAGCTCCAGCAGAGGTGAGTCCTACATGCAGGGGCCGTTTGGTGTTCGTGCAGCTACAGATGTCTGTCTGAACGGCAGCGCCTCGTTAGAGCTGCAGCTGACACTGCCAGCTGCTCTGCACTGCCAACTGTCAGAGGACACGGCAAACTCTTCCCAATTTGTGCTGAGAAAACCAGCATGGAATTGGATCAGCACAGGACATGACTTTAATGTCCTCCATCTGTCAAGGAGACTTATTGGGACATAACTGAGCATCTTGAGAAGAATTGTTAAGGCTCTTCCATGATTACATTTCCACAATTCAGAAAGCCAAACTGCATTCAGTTAGTTATCTTCTGTGTAGTGAGAGAGCAGGAATTGGTCTAGCAGATACAACGGTAGGGCCATTGGCGTCAATGAAAGGCTTCCCCCACTGGATCAGAACCCACCTTCCTTCCTTCCAGGCACCGCTGCAGTTGAGGCTTAGTTAGGACACCATATTGGCAGTTGTGAGGCTGCCAAGTTATTTCTCTCCAGTCACAGGTCCTGTTGTCGGAACAACTAAGGCAAGGTACAATCCATTGGCCTGGAAAAGACAACAAAACCTCCTTTGGTTCAGTGTCTACTGGTGAAATGACAGTTTGCTAGTAACTTTAGGATTCAACGATGGTGCACCATCCCAGAAGCTACAGTGAGAAGATCACTCTTATCATACAAACCCAGTGCAGCCATACGTGACCCGCCAACCAAGCTGAATCGCAACACATACTAATGTTCAGAAATAACACAGTTCAAGCTGAAATCAGGTACGAGTTTTGTTCCGTGAAACCATATTCTTATAAAAAATTAAGTAATCAGGTACTACTCTTAATTATTATTACTTATTCTTAACTAGTACATTAAGCACTTACTAAGACCAAAGCAGGTGAGAGCCACTAATATTGAGGCAGTTGGATACAAGTATTTATTAGCGTAACTCATGCTTAGGTTTACAGTCCAATCATTGACATATGCCCTGCTCTCAAGAGAGTCAAGATCTAAGAAAACTGCTTTAATATTCTGATCATGTATTATTTGGAAGTCTAGTTCCTTAATTTGGTTGATGGCCTTTTTGGTGTGAAGCTCTTCACCTCTTTTTTAGCTCTGTTGCCTCTATTTCTTCAGCTGTTAGATGAGGTATGTACTGTTCTGCTCACATGATTGGTGTGAGGAGTGAATGGGATAATGTATTTATGTACTGAGCATAGTCAAGTAGCATATTTACCCATGTTATAAGCAGACTTCAGGCACAAAGTAGGTTGCACGCTTTAGAAAATGTTTATAAGATAAATGCATATTCTCAGCGCCTTTAAGATCTTTTCTACTTTATTGATAAAGTTATAAGCATTCAAAACATGTCAGCTTTTTGTGTGGGTAGATACATTAATAATTTATTAGAAATAAAATCAAGAAACAGCTTCTGATTTTTCCTTGTTTATCTTTTCAGAAACGGAGTGGGAGAGCGCACCTTGCATGTGGAGTGTTCACTCATCTCCCTTGTGCAGAATGCCTTGAGGTCTGCAACGAGAGGCTCTGCCCTAAATGTCTCACTCGTCTTACTACTACAGACCTCTTCAAAACCATTCAGGAGCTAAATAGTTTCAGCTACTTTTTGAGGTAGAAAGAAAAAAAAATCCAAACGGCTTTATCCATTCTAGCTTTGATTTGTGATTCTGCTCACAAAAGTATCTGGTGTGACATTAATTTTAATGGGAGGAATTTCTACTTTCAGGGGATGAATATGGTGCAGTTTACATTTCATGACCTCAGGGATGACAGAAGTGTGTATGGGAGTGTGTGTGTGTGTGGAAATAGTTACAAATAATAAAACTTGAAAGGCCAACTAGTTTATGGCTTACTAGTTGATCTCAGAAAGGGAAAAAAAATGTGCGTGTATTGAGAGAGAAACGGGGGAGATAAAAGAAAATATTACCCTCTATGAGGATTTTCATTTAATACGTTATTGAAGTATCTACCCTATGAGATGTTAGGGTAGATACTGGTGTTAAAACACTACAACAATTTAAAAAATAGTTAACAGTTTCATTGCATCTGCCAGATGCTAGGGATTTTCTGAGCACGTTAATGTGTTAACTAATTTAAGCCTCCTAATTATAATGTTAAAGCTCAAAAGTTCATAATCAGTTTAGAAGGCTAAAACTTATACATGTAAAATAATTATAGCATAATAATAGCTTACACATAATTGAGTAAAGATATCTGTGAGGTACTAAAAGTGCCTGGGCTTTGGGGACACACCTGAGCTCTGCCGCTGGTTAGCTCTGTGGACCTCAATGCTGCACATTGGGGTCACCTGGAAAGCTTTATAAAATCTCCATGCCCCGGTTGTTTCCTAGGATGATTAAATCAGAACCACTGGCTATAGGACTCAGGCATCAGTATTTAATGCTTTTCATGTAATTCCATATGCAGCCAAGGTTGAAAAGCACTGTTCAACTTGGACAGATTACGTAATCTTTTCTCTATAAGGAAAATATGTATAGCACCTGCCATAGTGTCTCCTACCTAGCAACTGATGAATATATTTTACTCCCCCAACCCACCCTAAGTAAGCCATGATCGTTGAGAATAAAGAAAGCACCATGGGGGCCAGAGTTGTCTGGAAGTTTCCATGATGTACATAAGATCGGGCCTTAGGGATAGGCTTGATTTAGAGAGATGGAATGACTAGTCCTTTAGGGACAGGGAGAAGGCATGAGACAGAAGAAGTGATTGACCTACAGAATAGACAGTACACATCAGAGAGAAAAAGGTCGGCTGGTGAAAGGGGTGTTTCTAAAGCTTCCATATGTACACCATAGCAATAGCAGAACTACTACCAGATACAATGGAGAAAAGGCAGGAGTGTGGGTGTTCTGCCATCCAAATCTGTTTTATAAGTTTTCTGTGTGTTTTCATTCAAAATATAGCTTGCCTTCTAATTCTGATTTTGCACTGGCATACAGGATTTGTAATCAACAATCAACTCCTTCACATCTTTGCTTGGCCTCGTCTAATATTATCTGATTTAGACACAGTCTTGAGTTTAACACTTATTGATGAATTCCTCAAGAAAACCTCCTAACAGAAGAGCCTTTCCTTCACAGAGATTGGCATACTGTGGGCATATAGACTCCTCCTGGATGGGGCTGCAGTAGGCCTTGGGTCCTCCTTTCCATCCTTCTCTTTTACAGATGAGGTAAGCTGAGGCCCACAGAGTTGAATGACAGGTGTGGGATCATGTGTTCATGGCAAGGCTGGACCGGAACTGAGGCATAGGAATCTCCAATTTGCTGATCCTTTGGTCATGTTAGGCGAGGTCAGCACAAAATTATCACTTGAAAATGAAATATGGCCTAACAATCTCTTTGGTAGCATTTATAGGACAATCCATAAACAAGTTGCTTTAATGGATTTATCTTTATTTTAAACAGCTCTGAATTTATTCAGTGGGTTTATGTGTTGACAGACTATGTTCTTTAAAAAAATTGTTAATTTTCTTTCTAATAGGATGATGGGATGTTGGGGACATAAATATGCTTCTGCTAATGAGATTATATTGAGTAATATTTTGAAGGGCTCAGTTTTCATCAGACCCTTGATGCATCCTGTCCCCCAGACACCACCAACCCCACCTTGCTGACAGCTAATTTTGTACAAACTGAGGCCTTCTTTGGCCGCTTGCTGCTAAGGTTGAAGAAACAAGTGGCCAGATGCAAGTACAAAGATCCAAATATGGGTGCAATTAGTTTGTGGGTATAAAATCACATGCACATGAAAAGGACGCCTGATTGGGTCTCTAAAAACTTGGCCCCAATGGTTCATACTATTATACTATATATTTATACAGTCATAACTCTTCGCATTTTTGTATTAGTTAACAATACCTTTTTTATTGTGATTTAGTAATACTGCTTGAAATAGACATCTGTATAACATCTGTAGGACTGGAGTTCCTTGACATTTTAAATGATACCAGTTCTTAACTAAAATTGTCAAAAAGAAGGATATAAATTCTATGTTACATATTTAAACATTGAATGAATCAAAGCTGTGATTTCTGAAATAAAATATGACATGTGTTTTGGGAAATAAAATTCTGAGGGATAAAACTGCCTTTGGGAGAAGTTGATTTATAATTATAGCTTTGTATTTAATGCAAATTAGATTTCACCCATTGAAGTGAATCAGATTGGGTGATAGAATGGAGAAAGCGATTCAACTTGTGATTTAGGGCCATGGTGAGATGTGAAATCATATAGATGATAGCACTAATTCCTGACTCTATAATGCTATAAAATAAAAAGTTTTCACTTAAGGAGAAAACTACATCTATATCTTCAATATTGAAAGCATTCAAGTATAAGTTGTCATATTTACTTGCTGAAATGAAATAGGATAAAAGCTTTTGTTTACATATCATAAAATGAAATCTGAACTATTTTCCTTAAAGGTAATTCTCATTCAATAATCATTGTATAAATTTCTTCTTTCTCCAAATTAGAAGACAAAATTTTTCTTGTAAAGCAACAGAGTTTATTCTTAAGTTTGTGTGTGATAGTTAAATTGTTTTCTAAAGGCTAGAAATCAACGTAAGAATTAAAACAAAAAAAAACAAAAAACCTGTCACTCAAAATTATATTAGCTAGAGTTCTTGAAAAGACATTTTTTTCACCATCATTACATTGGCAAGGTGAGAAATTGGAACCAGTTCTGTCAGATAAATGTAATGTGCTGTGAAAATCAGATGTTGGAATCAATCTGTGGCTACATCAGCTAATGCTAGATCACTAAATGAGCTTCCTTTCAGTGTTGTCTGCTATAACACCTTCTTTCAATTGAAGGGAGTCCTACCTTCAGGGAAGGAAATCACCTCTGGCAGCAGAAAATCCATCCTTGCAAATTGCTATCCCCAATCTCACTCATTCACTTGGAATCCTTAGGTCCTTAGGACCTCAAGGGTGGACCAGTTTCCCTGGTTGGTTGTGTCCTGGCTGCTCACATCCTTCAGTGGAAGGAAGGAGGGCATGGGTCTTGGTTTTAGTTCAGCAGCCAATTTTAAATCATATATTAGACATTGGAAGATGAATAAGGGGCAATCTCTGCTCTGGAGAAACGTATACTCTAGGGCCATCATCAGCAAAACTTACTGCTAATGCACCTTTGAATAGTACTACACATATGCTGTAATATACGTACATATACTCCTCTATGTATATATTATGTCCATGGAAAACAAAAATAAGAATGAGTAGATAAAAATAAATATACATGTATTTTAATCTTTATTGGCTTCATCCCTGTGGATTGTGCCATGCTACTCTCTTCCCTGCTCAGATGCATCATTGCACTTTGAAGACTACTGATTAGAGAAAAAGAGAAAAACATGTACATTGAACAATTGAAACCTGAGAGATAAGTGTTATTACAGACATGTGCCCAAAGTATTCTGGGGGCACAGAAGAAAAGATAATCCGGGGGTGGGGTAGTAAATAAAGGCTTCTTGGGGAGGAAGACAGCATCAGGAGAACTAGGCCGTGATAGGGAGAAGACTTGTAGGAGCCGGGAATAGCTCGGATAAGAGCCTGGAGTCCCGTGGAAGAATTCTGGGCATAAAGCGAGGCAGAGAGGCGGGGAGGAGCTGGGAAAGGTAGGGAGGGTCAGATTGTGGAGGCCTGGAATTGTCAGACTAAGGATGATGGGGGTTTCTCTAAAGGCCTAGCTATGCAAGTTACCAGAAGGCCCTGTTCTACGGTGGCCTCTCCTATAAGGACCAGACACATATCAGGGCCTCACACAAGTTACTGCCAATTTAATGGACAAGAAGCTGCCACTTCTTGAATCATCTCAGTAATGTATCTTTAACTTTTTGTTGAAGATCTTTGACTTGGTCCCATAGGAGAATTACGTTGTTTTATGATTCTCGAAAATGGTCATCTGATTAAAAAAAAAATACTCAACTAGACATTGGTGTCTCCTTTGGATGCAAGAGCATATATCTCATTTAGCCAAGAGAATTCTACGTCATACCACCTGACACACCATAATGGGTCAATCCCTCTGTATGCACTGACTGTGATTTATTATTTAGAACACATGTGCAGGAACGGGGACATGCCCACGTTTGTTAACAGTGCATGCCAAATCGCAATTCGTCCTGCGCATTTGTGAAACTCATTTTCCAGTAAGGCTGTGGTGTGAAGTTCATGGCAAGGGTAGAAAAGCCCCTGAGTGTTTTTTCAGACTTTTTGGATAAAGGAGACCTGGGGTCAGGAGATTGGAGTGGTAACCAGGAATCTCAGAGAAGGTGCTCCCTGCTCCTCTTAGGTCCTCGGAGGCATTTTCAGTCCCAGCTTTGGCTTGACCCCACTGGTCTCCACTAAGAGAAGAGGCGTGCTGGGGAAGGAGAGACTGGAAATGTGGACAGTGGCCCCAGAGTCTCTCATTCCAGGTCTGCTCCCGGCTTAGGCAGGATTACACACTTGCATTTGAATTTGACATCACAATACTCCTGCCTCTATGAATTCTCAATATATGGGAGACATTAGTGATCATTCCCGAAGATTTTTTTTAATTAAAGGAAATGATTTAAAACTGAACATGTAGTCTTTGCATTCCTTTGATTTACAAGGTCAACAGATTTTTATTTTGTTCCTACTCTGAAGAAATTATAGTGCTAAGTGGATTGATACAGTGTACACGATTCAGAGTCCCTGTCCTTATGTAGTGATAGCCTGGGAACACTGACATTAAACAACTAATTACATGCTGAATCATTTAAATAATTGTGAGAACTGCTATGGAAGAAAAGCACAGGGTACTCTGGGAATACAGACCAAGGAAACAAATCAGAGGCTAAAGGAAGACCCTCTAGCATAAGGTACGTCTGATCTGAGTTCTGTAGATGAATACAGATTAACTCAGTAAAAAGCAGAAGGTGAGAAGAAAAGTATTTGATTAATCAAAATATTTCACATATTGAAACAATGCATTTACATGAATTCTATGTGCAGCAGTTCATACTAATGAAAAAGTAATGTATTACCTTGATTGTTTTGTACAAAGGTAGTTTAAATAAGCATATGCTTATCTATATGAACAGATTTTTTTAAAGAGTAGCAGTACCCAATGTGATAGTCACCTTTTGTGTCACCAGAAGAACAGATCTTTAGTTCGGACTGTGAGATGGCTTCAATGTAGTCAGGAGAAATAGGCTGCAACCCACAGGTTTCCTCTGGATGAATCAGCAAACCACAATCCTGCATTAAAGTGAGAGAAATTAGCTGCCATAGTAATTAACTTGACCCACAGTAATAAAATCTAAAAAATAAGATTTTCTGTGCCAAGGAACATTTATGGAGGGGGCAATTCTTATTTACCCTTCTTTGAGTATTGACTTATCAAGAGTTGTGTGTGCTACAAGGAGCTACTTACATGAGGGGATTAATATAAATTCTAAAAAAAAGAAAGAGAGAGAAAACAAAAGAGAAAATATATAAATTCTAATGACAATTTAATATTTTGGCATTGATATTCATGTATTGCTCTGCAAATTTTTAAAGAAATGTATGCAAGTTTTACTTTAAAAATATACCTGTGTGCTGACACATTAAAAATATAATATGCTATAATAAAGGACAATATAATCCTCTAATATTGTGGAAAAGCCAGTTAATGAGAGAAGGGAAATGGAAACTATTCTGGGAGAATGTTAATTTAATAGAGGAATTTTCTTTCAATGCACATTTATTAAGGACCCATGCTATGCCAGAAATGCAATCAAATACATAGATTTTACCCAAAACATGTTCATATAGTTATAAAAGCAGGTAACACGTCACCACAATGAATATCATTTTAGAGGTATGTTTTGGACTAAGCAATGCCGTCCATAGTTTGACATGTCCAGCAGGTCAGACCACAGTCACTTTCTCTTAGCTTTTTCTTCCAAGCACCAGTACCTGCTGCATCCTTCTATCCTACCTCACCTGTTTCCACTGCTGTCCTTCTCCCCAGGTTCTCTCAGTCTGTCACAATTTAGGGCAAGTAAAAATGCTGTAATCTCTATCAGAAATGCTTTCCCTAATCTTGCATGGAAAGCATCTGTAAGGTCTTTAAGAACGTTCAAGGTCTCAGCAAGAATTCTAGCCCAATTAGGTACCCCTGCTTTTGTCTGTGTCAGCACCATTTGTTTCCTTCATACTCTTCACCATTTGGTAATGTTTGTTATTTGTGTCTCTTCCACTAGACTGAAGATCCCATGAGAAGAAATAATAATTTTACACATCTACCTAGTCTGGGCCATACAGTAGGCACCAATAAATACTTATTAAATTCATAAAAGGTTAGAGTTGTTTCCCTTTTCTTATGATAAATGTTCAGCAAGGGAGAGAAATAACTGGGTTGACCTCCTCTTTGCTCTGTAACTCTGCCTCTAATGAGCAATTTCTAGTCACATTTCCTCATGCTCTCAAATATCCTAATCCTCAGCTCAGATTCCCAGACCTCATATAAAAAGGTCCAGAATGTTAATGAACAAAAGGCATGGGGTGGTGTATGGACAGCTTGAAATCTTGATTCAGTAAACCTATTTTTAATTCATGATTGAAATTAAAGTTTGGGATACTGATTAAAGATTAGGAATTGTGATTTGTATTAAAATGTTCATTATAATAAAGCAATTAAAAGTAACACAAAGTTTATAATAATGTCGTGAGGAGTTTTTAGTATGAATAAGACATATTTGTGTGTATGCGACATCAATACATTTATTTTTGGTGGAGACTGGACCTTTTTTTAAGGCTAGAAAAAAATGCATGTATCAGATTCAAAAATGTTTATATTAAGTGATAGGGAGGGCAATGAGAAATAATTACCCTTATATATTGCTGATGGGAGTGTGAATTAATTCGGCTACTTTGGGACACAGCTTATAATAGAAATAAAAATTCATAGACTCCATAGCCCTGAAGTCAGACTTCTTAGAGTCTACTCTAGAGAAACACTCATGAAATACACAAAAAACATATTATAAGGGTAGGTTCAAATGGACTAACATGGAGATATTTTCCAAGATACATAATTAAGAAAAACCGAAGAACATGTTTTGTTACAGGACAATACACGCCATGTGAAACACACCATGGACATGCCACCAAGGCACCTAAATTCAGGTATTTTAGATTCAGTTGTGTTCAACTTATTAATCATATAAATATTTTTCATTATATATAATCACATATATACATTCAAATAATGTTGAAGTATTTCTAAAAGTCTGGATTTAGTTAAACCTTTGCCTGAAAATTATTGTTTGGGGTCTGTGTATGCTGTATATGTTTAGGGTCCTGCCCTAATATTCATCTGGAGGGCATTAGAAAGGGAGTCCAAACTGCAGCTGCCAAAGTCCTAGCTCGTCTGTTCTGCCGAAGTCCTGCATGTAACTGGCACATATCAATTAATGAGAAAGATGTACTGTTCTGTGTGCTGATGGCTCGCCCTGTGGGAAATAAAATTGTGGGTGTGGGCTATTTCAGATAGGTTAGTCACAGGCCGTCTTTCTGCAGAGACCACACCTCAACAGAAAGACGCAAAAAATTGGGGGATCAGAATTCCAAGAAGGAATCTCATGTCAGAGGTCATGAGGTGGGAAAAGGACTTATCTGACATCTTAAAAAAAAAATCATCTTTAAAAAACTTTATTGACAATCTCTATTTTAATAATCAAATCATAAAATCTTTTCCTGAGATGGCACCTCCAAAGTTACATACTATAAACTCTTAACTAGATGAAATGTGATTCATTCATAATCTGGTCCTAAATATTGTGTATACATCTTTAAAAAGAAAAGGAAATCATTTACTATCTAGAATGCACAAAGCACCATATTAAGAATGTTGAGTCCCTGACCTCAAGAGGCATCTTCGTCAAAAGTTTCTTCTGAATTTTGACCTGAAATCTACATCTTATTTGTTCAAGTTACCTTCTTAGGTGTAGCTTAGAACAAATGTATGGTAATAATAAGCATGTTTTCTGACCTGACTTTAAAGCGACTGAAACCAATGACTGGCAATAGAGCACGATAATGCTTTGAATGTTCAGTGGCTACACTTTCTGGACACCAGGGCCCCACAGATGAGCCCATGATAACAGAGTAAATAGTGCAGAACACAGAAAAGCACAGTGTAAGTGGCCTCGCCTTTGCGTGTGAATAGTTACCGGGCAAGGTGCTGTTTCTGCTTCCGTGGAAGGTTCCCGTTGGGCACCTATTGTGCCACAGTCGGTAGGTCAGCGCTGGTGGTTCTAACTAACCAGTCATGACTCCAGTAAATTCCAAGACAGGACAGGAATCAAAACAATGTTGCAAAGGACAGACAGAGCAGAGACTGAGAGAGAGATGGTAGATTTTGAAGTAAATAGAATTCAAAATCATGCCCTCTTCTCTGTAGTGTAGGCCAAAGAATATTCGATTGGAGTCTGTGCTCCCTTTTGAATTTCTCCCGAGCAGTTAATCTCTGTTTGCAGTTCATATATCCTAATTCTGATGTTTTGGAAAGCCTGGGCAGTCTTCTTGGAGTGGTTATTAATCATTTTCTAGGAGCAGTCAAACAACGTTACCCTTAAAGTTGAATGAAACAAAGCATATGGCCGAATACAGACACAAGTCCAGCGGCTGGCTCACAGAGTTAAGGAGGTACCAGGATAGCTGGGCAGGCTTTGTGCACAGTTTATGGGGTAAGAGAATGGTGGCATACACTAAAAGGTGGAGAGAGGAGAGAGGCAAGACTCACATCCAACGATCTCACGGGCTGCAACAGACAATGTTAGGCTCCTGCCTACACAATATCCATTCTCCCTTTTTCTTTTCCAAAAGAAGGACCTTTGCTTTGTTGTAGACAGCAATGTATCTAACAGTAAAAACAAAACCAAAAAGCCAAAAAAACCAAACCAAACTTTACTTCCCAGTCTCCTTTGTAGCTGGACATGGCCGTATGTCCTAACCTAAGAAATGTAGGTGGAAATCGGGTATGGAGTTCTGGAAAAGTTTTGCTTCCCTGATGCCACTTTTTCTTTGTCATTCTTGTTTCTTCTTACTGCTTGGAATGCAGAAGTGAGCCTGAGAAAGGAGCAGCTATGTTGTGACCACGAGACAACAATGAGCAGAAAGAAAGACCCTGGGCTGCCCACCTCTGCACTTCTTGCTACGGGAGAAAAACAAACTCCTACTTGGTCGAACTACTATGAACATGTAAAGTGGAGCCACACTGCTCTCTTTCTGTAAGAGTTTCCTGAACCTAAGGCCATATGAACCTTTTTGAGTATTCCTTTAGATCTTAAAAGTGATTACCTCTACTACTACTAAACAAAAAACAAAAACAAAAAATCTTAATCTTGAAAAATAAAAAAAAACTCATCATTTCTTTCTCTCATTTCTAAGTGTCTCTCATTGCTTTCTTCACAGGTGTGATTAATAACTTGGTCAAGTTCAGGCACATTCCAGGAAATGAATGACAGCTCTTCTGGTCTTAAGTGTCTAAGTGTCTTAAGCCTCTGAGTCTAAATACACTAAAAAGGTAATGTTTAGCAGGGTTGGCTCAAATGGCATTAACCTCAGAAAGTTCCACATTTAGAGTGTATCTTTGCTAGAGACTTCGCAAATTCCTGAGTGGATTGTCATGGCTCGCAGTAGAATGCAATAAGATAATTAACAGGGATTTTCTTGTTCAAACATGTATACAGTGTATATGTTTAGTACATAATTAAAGCATTTACTTAACTGTTCGTGAAGTCCTGCAGTGGCTAACATGGAATGTTAAGGCGCCCTTGGTGTTGCCTCGTCTGTACCCATGAGCTACGTGACCACTGTTTGTTACCAGTTCCTATGGAAGCCCATGTTAATTTCTTACAGAAGTGTTTAGCCACAAATGAATGAATAGTACTTGTCATTTTTAATGTGATTTTGCTCTATTTTAGAGCAATACCAAATTGGACTACTTGATTTGGTAGGTATCTTTAAACCTTCCCTACTTTTTTGGCCCCATGGATCTGTTCCTTTAAGATGAAACAATTCTCCCCTTCTCCCATTAAAATGCCCACCTAACTTTAAAAATATACATTCACTCCCTGTGGCACAGTTTGTTCCAGAGAGACTCATTCCACCCCTTCCCCTGGGCTGCGGCTATTTCCAGTAAGTCAGGAGGGACCTCTCATGCTGAACAATAGGGCACAGTCGTCTCCGCCCAGGAAGGCAGAGTCCCC